TCCTCCACGAGTGCCATCTATTATTGCCTTGTTTATCTAAAAGTGCTCTTTTCCTTTAAGCCTAGCCAAAAAGCCATATGGGAAACACAGTAGACTTTAATAATATGCATTAATGGTGTAATTACTACATTTTCGTGTCAATCCATGTTCATATTTACTGCAAATATATAATGATGAGCTAGGGTCAGGGTCACGGTCACGCGTGAACCGGTTCATTCTGTGAAGCCGTGAATGTGAATACTCAATCAGTATTTTCAGTCAGTGTTCAAAGTCGTTTGGTTTGTGGTGTGTAAAGAATTTAAGACCAGCTGTTGCCAGTCGTCCTCACAAAGATTAGCCTATTTTTTATTTATTTTTTTATTTTTTGAAATAAATTTTGTGACTGACGCCGGCGATTAACTGCACATGTTTCCTAATTTGTAGGCCTGTTAATTTAAATAACGAATTAACAACAAAACAAAAAAAATCACAAACATGATATTTCTGAATAAAATAATTTTATACCCTACACTTTAGTTAGCCTATATCTAATTTGCCATTTTCAGTTAGGCCTGTTACATTCTTCTTATTAACCTGTTATTATTAAGTTACTTTTATTATTAAATTAATAATTAATTTGCCCCGCAATAATTTCATAGCGCATCACCGCATAACTGACGCGCTGCGAGGATAAAGAATAGGCTAGCTTATTCCTCATTGAAAATGTTTTTAAAAAGGTCTTTCAAAACCGGTTTATTATACAATGAATTAGACCTATAATTCAAATTATTAACACTGCAATCATCAATGAAAAAGCTTTATTTCAAGCACCGACTTTTTTTAAAAAGAAAAAAAAAACAACCCGTTTAACACAAAATACGTTTTTTTCTCTCTTTTATTTATTTATTTATTTATTTATTCCACTAGCCTATGTTCGGGCCACAAGAGAAATATTAAAGGAGTACATTAAAACGTTTAGCCATATAGGCTACCATTATCAGCATATGAAGGAGATTCGTCTCTCGTCGTCTCTGAGAGAATATGCACCGTTAATGCAGCGTCAGATGCCGAAAGCGCCGTCAGTTTTTACTTTCACTTTCTAGTGAATCGACTGAGATTAAGAGGTTCACCGCATAACTCTTGCGCAAAGTTTGCACGTTGCTTGTGTGATATCCATTGGCTCAGCTTCCTGGTTTAAAACAAATATTTACAATATTGCGACGTATCCAGACCCCCAAACCACCGATTATTGAGTTCGCGATTGGGGGCCGCGGATTTGCGCTATGCCACTGGCCTCCGTCCGTTAGCCTAGTGCCCGCTCATTTTTGCCCAGGCCCGCCCAAAATTAGCCGCGGATCATATCGCACTGAGCACACTAAAAATAGAGCACACTGAGCCCGTGCTGCTTCTGCACTGCATTGGCTAAGAACCGCACATGGACTGCACTGCAAACGGATCCTCCCTTAATTTCTTAAGCTGATATAATACAGCACTCAACTGCCATGCATGCACTATAGGGATTTAAGAATCAGTGAAGACATCAGCGATTTCGGAGTCGACACCGAGAGTCGATTCCAGTGCTGGAGTCGACTCAGACTCTAGGGCTATTAGGAGTCAAGGAATCGACTCTTTTGGAGTCGACTCCCCATCCCTAGCGTACTCTGCGTATAGGGAGTGGCGGTACTAATTTTACCCGCGCCGGTGTTCTGACGATTTTTGCTACCCGCTCAGATTGTGCTACCTCCCATTAAAAAGATAGAGCACAAATCGATTGCGAAAAATGCTACTTATCAGATTGTGCTACCAGCATCTTATTCATATGGTTTGAGGCTTTTTTTAATGTCCATACCTTCCCCTACCCTAAACCTACCTGTCCATACCTACCCTTACCCTAAACTTACCCATAAAACAATGCAAATATATTTTTGGTAGCACAATCTGATAGGTAGCATGTTTCGTCGGTACACCGGACAGAGACTGAGACGGTGACGCTGCATGTCGTGCCAAACCTCTCACGGCAGCGTCATCAGCTTGAGCTCGGTTTTTTGAGATCGACCTTTTAGAGACCGCCGATCAATCATCCCAACGTGAGTATCGGCCGATAGTGATCGGTAGCGATCAATCGGAGCACCCCTAATATATATATATATATATATATAACCCGTACCACTCAAATTAGAAAACATTATTATAAGATAACCGTTGTGAATCGGGCTAAAGTAAGGCGATAGTTTTGAACACTGGCTGGTTATGTACTTGCTCAAATATTGATTTCGGATCATTTTTAACCAAAAAAGTTAGGGACTGCAGCTTTAATCAATGTTTTAAAATGTAATCAAATTAATATATCACGCAATTTCCAACAAAGCATTTAATTGTTATTTTTTGTCAAATAAGACAAAACAGAACTGCATAAATTAAAATGTGGATGAAAAATATCTTTGTATGATAAGAATTACTTTAAGAATTACATTTTATTATACAATAGTAATATAATTTGCGTTTCAGAGTGTATTTGACAGTAGTTTTTCCTCAAATGAAATGCTGAAAAGCTCTGAAGTGTGACTGTCAGTGCTTTAGATTCATGCTACTGTACGTGATCTGCAACTGTGGCTGTTTCATGATATTTTCTAAAGATTGCCATTGTTGTGTTTTCATTTGTCTGTAGGGAAGCTGTCCATGTGATGGAGCCCCCAAAGCAGCGGCAGAACCCGAACCTGCCCCGCCATCTGAGAGTGAAGAGAGCGAATTAGGTATGTTGACTCTAATATCTCCTTTAATATCTTTTGTTTGCTCGTCATATGCCATCTCGATAGGCCATCGCTCTGGCCTTTTTTTGTGGATTGGTAATAGCTCTGAACTTTCTCTAAACTTTTTCCAGCTATTGCTGATGTCACCTGGCTCACGATTTCTCGCTCTATGGCAGTGTGCAACATCAGCTTCGTTTCTGATATTCAAACTAGGGCAATCAGTAGACAATGAAACGGATGCCAACAGCGTTTGATGTGAAGCTGATATCTAGGCTCTAAAATTAACCTTTATTCAAATATTAAATTTAAACTATTCAAATAGTCTGTTTTGCAGTATCATGGAAACTAGAGGCTGAAATCTTTTGACTGTGGAGGTAAAAAAGTAGCTTTTTGCTTTTACCTAAACTGGTTAAAAGCTGTTAAAAGGTGCAATAGTCACTGATGCTGAACCTCATTAAAATTTGTTTACATCACCAATTTCAAGTGCTCTACTATTTAAAAGTTTTAGGTTGTTAAAAAAATGTTTTTATGTTTTTGAAAGAAGTCTCGTCTGCTCACCAAGGCTGCATTTATTTGATCAAAAATGCAGAAAAAGCAGAAATATTATTGGAATTTAAGATATCATTTTTTTAATTGAATATATTTTTAAATGAAATTTATTCCTGTGGTGTAAAGCTGAATTTTCAGCATCATTACGCCAGTCTTCAGTGTCACATGATCCTTCAGAAATCATTCTAATATGCTGATTTGATGCTCAAGAAACATTTCTTATTGCTATCAATGTTGAAAACAGTTGTGCTGTTTGATATTTTTTTGGAAACCATGATACTTTTTCAAGATGTTTTTATAGATAGAAAGCTCAAAGGAACAGCATTTCTTTGAAATATAAAAATATAAATCTTTTAGAACATCATAAATGTCTTTACTATCACTTTTAATCTATTTAATGCGTTCTAGCTGAGTAAAATTATTACGGTAATTAAAAAAACACTCTTATTGACTGCTGTAGCATATATATTATGTTGCAATCCCTAAAAATGCTAGCAGCTAACTGGCCTGTAAAGCTTTACTTTGCATAGTCAGTTTTTAATCTCATTTGGTACTTGGTGAGTTTTATCATTTGCTAATATCTGTTTGGAGAATATGCTCTTATTTTGTAACAACAGTTTCTAATACTTACGCTGTTATGTGAACTTTATCTGGCATTAATTTCTCCAGAAATTGATAATGAAGGAGTGATTGAGCCTGACACAGATGATCCTCAGGAGATGGGAGATTACGAAAGCCTGGAGGTAAATGCAGTGAACGCACAATATCGTGACAAATCTAAATTTCCACAATCCTTTGAGATATGTAGTATGAAAACATACTGCAAAGTTCAGAACTCAAAACTTTCTCCTCGGTCTAAAAAGACCATATGTTGAATCTAAAGGCTGGAATACATTACACAACTTTCAAAATCTGAACTAGGTGTCATACACTTGCTGACTTTGTAAATAGTTACGGAAGAAAAACTGTGCATCATACACTAAACAACTGAGGATTATATATACACTACCAGACTTGTGAGTCATTCTGGCTTGAAATAACAAACGTGTTTGATATTGTCAACTGGATGGAATGGAATGGATGGAGACTGTGACCATCACACACTATGTGATTTTCTATGAAACCTGTCAACTCAAATCTGCAGACTGGCTTTGACTTTTGGCGACTAGAGTCGGTGCAAAAAATCTGGGCAAAAGTCATGTAGTGTATTCCAGCCTTGAGCTGCAAAAACGTTCAAAACATATGAATCCCCCCAGGAATTTGCGTTTACAAGCTTTAATGCAAATTCAACCGATTACCACATTATTTGTGGCAGCTGGCAGGTTTCTTCTTATTTACACAATTATATACTCATAATTTTAGTAATTATGCATGCAAGTATTTTAACAGGTAATTGTACTCTTACTAATACTAATTACATAATAATTATTGGTGGGTTTCCACTCAAAAGATGCAACATATATTGCCACAATTTTTGATAGATGCCACAGCAAATTCAGTCCTTTTGGGCTGCAGAAGCCAAAAAAAGTCCTGCTAAATCCCAAACCACAGGTACTCTTTTCACATACAAAGAACATATTTAGATAGATAGACAGAGGGTAGAAAATGGTCATGAGAAACTACATTAAGCAAGCCTTGACTTACATTTTAATTTGACTTGATGTGACTCCTTTAAATCAATGGCAAAGCTGTTTAAACAATGTGAGGTTGTAAATGTTCCCATATTCATCGTAGACATCCACTGGTGCCATGACTTTGTTGTTTGGTTGCTCTTTCAAAATACTGTCATAATTGACTGAGGGTGTCCTGTATCTGCTTGTGATCAAATTTTTCATCATTAAAGTCTTTCATCAAGCTCTTTAGTGTTAAAGGGGTCATATGATACGATTTCAAGTTTTCCTTTCTCTTTGGAGTGTTACAAGCTGATTGTGCATAGATAAGATCCCTGAAGTTGCAAAGACTAAAGTCTCAAAACCAAAGAGATATTCTTTATCAAAGTTAAGACTCTGCCACGCCTACCTAAAACGGCTCGTTCTAACACGCCCCCACATATCTACCTCACTATGTGAAAATATTTGAATAATGCCGCCCAAACGTTCATGCAAAGAAAGAAGGCGTGGTTTCAGGAACAGCAGTTAGTGTTGAAGCAGCCATGTCAAGGAGACGCTGTGTGTTTCTAGGCGAAAGCAAAAGCACTTTATTTGGCCTTCCGAAAGTAGATGCATTTAGGAATCTTTAAGATTACTTACATACATTTCTGACGCGTGCTTGTGGTGTTCGGCCAATCATAATGCACTGGGTCAGCTGGCCAATCAGAGCGGACTGCGCTTGTCAAAGGAGGGGGCTTTGTAGAAAACGAAGCGTTTGAGAGAGGCGGGGCATAGAGGACTTACAATAATGTACAGTATTTGAAAAATAATGTGTTTTTTGAACATTAAAGCATGTCAACATATTCTGTTACACCAAATACACAAAATAATGATCTTTAAAAAAGCATCATATGACCCCTTTAAGTGAAATTTATACGGGACTATGAAATGCTTTCTTTAATCGCAGGTCACAGATGAGATGATGGACCAGGCCAATGAGAAGAAGATGGAGGCTATTGGAGTGTTGGGAGACGGTGAGCTGCCTCTTACTCGAAATTATGAAATCTGTAATAATGCAATCATAGTTGAAGTTTCCTTAGTTGTAGTAATAATTCATGATGAAATCATGAGGTTCAACAAAACATGCCAACTTTTCAGGTGACCTACAGAAAGCTCTAGATCTCTTCACAGAGGCCATCAAACTCAACCCGAAACTGGCCATTTTGTATGCCAAAAGAGCCAGGTATCAACCCATCCCTGCTTTGGTTTTTAGCGACCTGCTTTGTTTGGCTGTGATTGGCTGTTGGTTACCCGTGTCTATTTGTGTCTTTCAGCGTATTTGTGAAAATGCAGAAACCCAACGCTGCCATCAGAGACTGTGACCGAGCCATCAGCATCAACCCAGACTCAGCCCAGCCTTATAAGTGGAGGGGGAAGGCACACAGGTAAAAGACCACAGCTAGATTTTCATAGAAGAGGTGTGATTTCTGCCTTGACACTTGTGTTCAGTGCTCAGTGCTTTGCTGCTGATGAAGATCTCTCATTCTTACAGGTTGCTTGGCCACTGGGAGGAGTCCGCTCGAGATTTAGTGATGGCCTGTAAGCTGGACTATGATGATGAGGCCAGTGCCATGCTAAAAGAAGTCCAACCAAAGGTATCTGTGCTGAACTCGTTTATGACCAGAGTTGGGCAAGTTACTTCCAAAATGTAATACATTATATATTACTAGTTACTGTCTTTTGAAAGTAATTAGTTACGTTACAATATTACTGTCTCTGAATTGTAATTACTCCCAACACTGTTTATGACCCTTCTACAAAGACAGCTGAGCTGCTGTAATTATTTTTTGGAGAACAGTTGTATTAATTTGCCACCTGGAGAACCCTCAAGAATGATGTAATTTAATCGAATAATATAGTGATACTAATAGCTTCAACTTTAAGCTTATATTTGAGGCCTTTTATATTTTAAAAACATCAAAAGTGTTTGTATAAATATAATGAATTTTCATGAACTAGACTTGCTGTGTAATGTCAAATTATTTGGCATTTTTGAAAGACTTCTGAACTCGAATTTGATACAGTCATGATGGATTGCATGGTTTTTTTATGATATAATTTCCTGTTTTATAGTTTTCTTGTCACATGACATGACAACAAAATGGCTTCCTGCATTTTGGACAGTGGTGGACAGTAACGAAGTAGTTTTACTTCGTTACTGTACTTAAGTACATTTTTCAAGTATCTGTACTTTACTGGAGTAGTTTTATTTTGAGTAACTTTTACTTTTACTTCACTACGTTCAAAAGCATAAGATCGTACTTTTTACTTCACTACATTTCATAAAACTTATCGTTACTCATTATAATATATCACGTGCGCAGAAGCGGTGTCTGATTCATGAACGAACTGATTCTTTTCAATGAACCTTTTAAATCGGTTCGCAAATCGCACCAAACGATTTATGTTCATCTTCCCCGCTGCTGTAACGTTAGCAGTTTTACTAAAATGCTATGCATTTAGCCCTATGTGACATCTGTTTTTATATTGTTTGTCAGCACACATAGCCTAAGTTACTATGTATCTGGATCAACTAGCCGAGTAGACACATGTTTATTCATAATCATGCTGAAAATAAGTCAATAATGTTAGCTGGTGCTAACTGTCTAGCTAACGAGCTTGCTGGTGCTAAATTTAGGTTAGGGATGCACCGATACCGATACTGGTATCGGTATCGGGCCCGATACTGGCCTCCTGTACTCGTACTCGTACTCGTTAAAATGCCCCGATACCAAACGCCGATACCACACAGCATGTGATAAGCGCCATATTTAAACAAAGAAACACTGACAACAGACAGCAGAAAGGAGTTATGGATGTCTACTACGAAGTATATGTATGCAATAAATATAATGTTAAACATTCAGTATTAACACCTGAAAGTTTATAGATATGTCAAAGACAAGTAAGTAAAACAATGCACAAGTTACTTAACGGTAGGGAGAGAGCGGAGAGAGCGAATCCATTGAAGTATTTCTTTGAGGCGTATAATGGTGGAGCTTTAAAATCAGCACACTTTCAAAGAAAGTCCTTCCTAAAAAATGTAGAAATGTTTTTTGTAGTACATTAGTTATGCTGTTATTGTTCTTATTGTGTAACATCGTATTACGTAAAGCAATTTTTGGGGGGCGTGGGTTGAGGGGAATGAAGTGTTAGTTTTAGTTTTGGATTTTGCTTTTATATGGGCTTATATTATACTTTAACAGATGCATTTCAAACAAATGAGCTATGTCTGTAACATGTCTCCTGTATATTTGTAATATGTATGAACTGTTGTGTACTATTGAAAAAATACAGTATTTCTTTCCAAGAAATGTTTTTGCTTATTGCCTTACTTAAAAATCTACAATATTAGGGTGCTAAAATGCTTTTATTTATTTAAAAAGTAGTACTTATAGTTTATAGGGATGCACCGATACCGATACTGGTATCGGTATCGGGCCCGATACTGGCCTCCTGTACTCGTACTCGTACTCGTTAAAATGCCCCGATACCAAACGCCGATACCACACAGCATGTGATAAGCGCCATATTTAAACAAAGAAACACTGACAACAGACAGCAGAAAGGAGTTATGGATGTCTACTACGAAGTATATGTATGCAATGAATATAATGTTAAACATTCAGTATTAACGCCTGTATAGCTGATGTGCGCGAGCTGATTAACAAAGCACGCTGAGTGGATTGAGCGCGCGGCGGCGCAGATGCGCGAGCTTGTCGAGTGAATATACCTTTCTCACAGACATCATTGGAAAGTTTATAGTTCGGTCGGATATGTCAAAGACAAGTAAGTAAAACAATGCACAAGTTACTTAACGGTAGGGAGAGAGCGAGAGAGAGACAGAGAGAGAGAGCGAGAGAGAGCACGCGCGCACTTCTGTTGTGTGATCTTTGATGTTCGCTCACTTAGCACGCATCATTTGAATTAAAACGAAATCGTACAAATAAAACCATTCATAGGGGCATTCACTATAATCATCATTTATTTTCAACCTTAGGCATACACGACTTTCTAGCGAAAGTGAATCTAGCAGCCTGTGTGAAATGCGCTAGACTGTACTATTCTGCATCAGTACAAACACGTGCAGGCGTTGCGTGTGTTTTGCTTGCTTGAGTGTTTCTGCATTATATGAGTGGCTTTGGAATATAAATCGCAGCACGTTTCAGATGAAAAAACGCGACTTCTATTTCTGAAAATATCACAGTTAGGAGATTTATAACGAGTGGTTCCCTGCATTATTACAGCAAAGCGCGTGATTACAGTACTAAGCCGCTGCTCTAATGCTATTAAATTAAAGATGATGTACCATAGAGCAAAAAAATGAACAGTAAAAGTAACAAAAACTTGTAAAATACATTTTAATGGGCATAATTAAGTGTGAAAATAACCGAAGGATATACAGTGAAACCAAAAATGATTCAGAGACCAGATATAATTTTTGATATTTTTTTACTAGTGGGTGCAGGACACTATAGTTCATTTATGTAAGTGAGGATAGCAAAATAAAGTAAACTGTGACAAATCATACCCAAAAATTCTTCATACTGTGGACTACCAGTAAAATTGATACAAATTTGGGTCCAAAAATTATTCAGACCGAGTCTGGGAAAAAAACTGAAGTTGAGGTTTTCATGAAGTTGGGTGACAGCATGCCCAGGAGACTACAGGCTGTCATTGAGGCTAAGGGTTGCCCGACAAAGTATTCATAGTTGTGTAAATACTGTCATACTAACAGCTGTCTGAATATTTTTTGGTTGATTGTAATCTATTACATACCTTTCTATCAAACTTATCTAGCATTATCAAGATGAATTTGTTCTGACAGTTTAACTCTGAGTTCTTGTCATGTTTTATTACCATTTTCTAAACTATAGCGAATGTAATGTGAGAAATGTTGAAGGTGTCTGAATAAATTTTGGTTTGACTGTATCTATTTGATAAATGAAGTTAACCAACTAACATTATACATACCCTTTTGGTTTCTGTACCCAATATTTAAAAAATTTACAAATGTAATAAAAATATAGGTATCGGCATCGGTATCGGCAAGTACCAAAAATAAAAGTATCGGTATCGGGCGAGTACTGGAAAAAGTGGTATCGGTGCATCCCTAATTTAGGTAATTTAAAAAATAAATAAAGTCCAAATATTTTTATTCAACCACCTAGATAGATTACATCTGAGGGAAAAAGTACATAAAAAATCAAGTACTTTTGTACTGTCACTCGAGTAAAATTGAAAACTGAGTACTGGAGTAAATATTACTGGAGTAATATTTTATTATACGGATCTGTACTTTTACTCAAGTACTTGATTAGTGTACTTCGTCCACCACTGATTTTGGATATATATTTTACCATAATTTAATAATATTGAATTCCGCTTTTTAATGTTTTTTAATATATCTGGACAGAATATAAGCATCGTTTATAAAATGAGCATATTACTATTGCTTACATCACTGACCCAAGTACACCACTGTTCAAAGTTTGGGATTGATAAGATGTTTTAATGTTTTTGAAAGAAGAATCTTAAGCTCACAAAGGCTACATATATTTGATATAAATACAGTAAAACAGTAATATTGTGACATTTTATTAAAATTTAAAATAGCTGTTTTCTATTTGATTATATTTCAGAATGTAATTTATTCTTGTGAAACTATATTCTTTAATAAATAGAAAGTTCAAAAGAACAGAATTGATTTGAAATACTATTTTGTAACCTAAATGTCTTTCCTGTCAGTTTTGAAAACAATTCCACAAAAATAAAATCGTACAGACCCCACAATTTTAAACAGTAGTGTGTATTTAAAATGGTAGTATTTGAATGGTAGTGAATGATTGAAAATCACTACTGATATTGTGATTGTGCAAAATAATGGTTATTTAAGCTCGATTACATTTATTGAAAACATCAAAAGCAAACGGAGTGTGCAGAAAGGTCGATGTGGCTCATGTGATCCCACCTCTCCCTCACAGGCCAACAAAATCATTGAGCACCGGCGCAAATATGAGCGCAAGCGTGAAGAACGAGAGATCAGAGCACGGCAAGAACGAGTGAAGAAAGTGAGGGAGGAGCACGAGAGAGCACAGAGGGTAAGAAATCTATTGATTTGCATCAAGCCACTGAATCTGAATTTTCTGCACAGTCAGTCCTGTTAATGTGCATCTGTGTGTGCAGGAAGAGGAAGCCAGACAACAGACCGGAGGGGCACAAGGAGGATTCCCAGGATTCCCAGGTATCTAACTGTTTATGTATATGTTTATGTTATAAGCCGTATTGATTTGTCAAGCATTAAGAGAGGTTACTGGAAGCACTGAATATCAACAATTTTTGTTGTTTGAAATTGTATAATTGATGTTAGTATTTGTTGTGATCCTTCAGGAGGTGCTGGTTTCCCAGGTGGAGCTCCTCCGTTTGGAATGGCTGGACTTAATGAGCTATTTAATGATCCAGAGGTTCTCATGGCCATGCAGGTAAAGTTAACCACGTAATGCGGAGCACCAGGACGGTGCATTTAAACAGAGTTAAAGGGTTAGTTCACCCAAAAATGAAATTCTGTCATTAATTACTCACCCTCGTGTTGTTCCATTTCAGATTTGAGAGCCTATTATAGCCGACGGTTGCTGCATTGACGAACTTAACAAACGTGTCCATTCAGCAGCCAGTTATTCCAGGGAATTAGTCTAATTATAATCCACTTCATCCATTCAGTATGCCACATAGTTTATGTTTGTGGTCTTATCCAGCGGGATCAGGATCAAAATGGGGTGTAGATTATATTCATACATATGAATACATATTCACTGTCCAAAGCAATCAGTCAATCACTTCCTGTTTAGATTTCATGGGTGTTCCTTTTAAAGGTTTTTGATTCATGTTTTTGTTCTTTAGTTCTTTTTTTTTTTGCTCTCCTTACCCTCAATGCAAAATTCAATTGTGAACAACTTTCTTATTGTGACAAATTTGCGTCTTGTATGGATTTCATGATTTAATTCAATAAACATTTTGGTTGTTGCAAATACAAGTCATCTGTTTATTTACGGCCTTGCAATTTTATTTGACTTCTAGGGATAGTTCACCCAAAAATGAATTGTGTTATCATTTACTCACTCTGAGGTTGTTCCAAACCTGTATGAGTTTCTTTGTTATGCTGAACACAGAAGATGGTATTTCGAAGAATGCGAGTAACTAAACAATCGACGGTAGCCATTGACTTTTATAGTATGGGAAAAAAATACTATGGAAGTCAATGGCTACCGTCAACTACTTGGTTACCCAACATTCTTCAAAACATCTTTTATAGTGTTCAATAGACTAGGAAGACTCCAGTACTGTTTATATGTAATATATACAGTATAGGTACAGTACAATACAGGCATCTCTTCAAATGTGAACTGACCTAGAACCGGGTTCCTTCAACTCAGTCAAACATTGAGATCAGAACTCTGAGAATAATCTTCTGTCCACATTACTTTTTATTTAACATGAGATAAAGTGACTGGGCTTGTTAAGTCTCTTAACATAAAGCCTAAAGTTAACAGCAGCACAGAAATATTTGAGTTGTATTAGAATGAAATTACATTTCAGAAATATTGGAACTGATAGAGCTGAATTTATAGTGACTTTATTAGTAATTTACAGCTCAGAATGCTGCACATTACACACACACAGAAAAACACCATAACTAGTAACAATTTCAATGTGGACCGGTTGGTCTTTAACAGGGAGAGAATGGTGACAACAAAAATGCATCTCAGGAAAGAACATCCTAGATCTGAAGCACAGACACTGAGCAGCACAGTTGCTGCTAATGGCCGTACCTGAAAAACAGCAACAAAAGATGATTATTAATACAAGCATGGACATTTACAACCAATAAAAGACATGTCAGAAAATGTGGGATTAGAACAACAATGCATGATCCCTTCTGAATGATAAACTTCTGGAAAATACAAATAATGGGGGAAAACAATCATTTATAGCATGTATAACTGCTGATAATTGAATCAAAAGTATTTAACATCAATCATATCTGTATCCTAATAAAGTTCAAAGTGATACACATTACAGGTTATCTAGACCGGGTTCAAGAGGTCTTGACTGATGTTTAAGTGAACTAGGATTCTCTATTAATACAGGTCCTGGCAGGGTCTGCCTCTTTTTTTTAATGAAGAAACAAAATCACTCACTTCTGGAACTCCCACTCTCTGTTGTCCAGAGGACACACCTGTCTGGTCTTCAGCCAGCGAGAGATGCAGTGGAAATGAAACGCATGCTGCAGAACCAAAAACACACAGTAATAACACAACCGAACAGACCACAGTCCACACTTTTGATTTCAGCAAAACAAATATAGGCCTAGTTGGTTGGTGTAGATGTGATCATACTCACATTACAGACTCCCCAGGCCACTGTACACTCCTCTGATGTAGCTGACGCTTGATTGGCCTGACACTCTATACCTGAAGGAAGATGAACCATGACAGCTCACTAATAGCAGTTGAAAGTGTGTTAAACAAGAAACTACAATAGAACACAGTCAGATGAGACCAAACTGGAGCTGATACTTACAGAGGTCCATAATGTGATTTCTGCAAATGGCACAGTTGTCCACCACAATGTCCCAAGCCCACAGAGCCACAGCATTCCACTGCAAGAGAAACACAGTTCTGGAATTAATTCAACCAATCAGGTCTCTCAACACAACTTCATGGCAATTCGTAACTATTTCACATTTACTTACTCATACAATCTCATTTGTGTGTTTTTGTACAATTTGATTACCCCCTCAGTGACAGTTATGTTTAGTGGTGGACATTTATGCTGTTTTTCCCCCCCCTAAACTTGGTATGTTTTTGTACGATTCACATCACAATAGTTACTAAATAAAAGTTGGCAAAATAATTACATTTTCCAGTGAGACTGGGATCCAAATAAAACAACTGTTACAGATCTACAATCCATACACACAGGTCAGAAAATACATGTAAAAATTGAGTGAATTTACATGGTAATATCATGGAACTTTCATATATATACTGTGGTACTAAATGATTACCATGTTCATTTTACTTAAGAAACCGAATGGAACTACCCTGATGTGTGTTTTAAACAAGTGCTAGAAGAATCAGACGCGTCGGAATGTGCATGTGAAGTCCAAAACGATCGAATCGAACGTTTAGAATGACTACGAAGCCTTAAACCGTTTGAATCGAACGCTCGGATGTCACAAAATGAGAGAATCGAACGTTCTGAAAGCGCCTGCTATGCTCAAAACTGTTCTAACTGAACGCATCTATGATGTCTAAAAATGCTGTTCAGGTAAGGGACTCGTTAGGTTTCTAAGTGATTTCGATTAGTGCTTCATTTATCTAGTGGCCTGGTTTAATAATCTCTCGGATTACGCAGCAGAAATAACTACAGTTCAAATCAAGAGTCAAGAACGCCCAAGTTGCATGTGTCGACTTGATATAAGATTCCAAATATTTACGGGACATATTAAAAGCTGACTGTAATCATAAAAAGAACACAGGCAAGTAATTAGCATAAATAATGATGAGAAAGAGCAGCGCCGCCGATGCTAATCGGGGATTATAAACACGCCGCTGTGAAAGAGTTTACATTTTAAAGAGACTAAGCTGTTTAAATGTATAATATACTTAACACTGACGTCTCAATACTGTACCTTTTTCACTTCAAAACGCTTTTTACTGGCTCCACTGTTCGCTCCACCCGGGGTGTCTACATCCATCGCGGCCGCCATGTTTGCTAATGTGATCTCGCGAGAGTGAGTGAGATCGCATAGTTCCTTAGTTTAATAATCAGCGGACTGGTTGCCCGTAAAATAAAGCAAGGCTGCGCTGTTTAGAATTCTTCTGCTTATATTAAAACATATTAATATATTTGAAAAGTTGGTATTCGCAGCATATCGATAGTAAAGTAAGCTCTACTGTTTTATAGGTAAGTGGAAAAGTGTAGGTTCCACCGAGATTTGAACTCGGATCGCTGGATTCAGAGTCCAGAGTGCTAACCATTACACCATGGAACCAGCTAGCGTACACGGTGAAATATTTTGATATTTACTTTCGTGAAAAGAAAATTCACGAATTATTTGAAATGACACATTCTTAACATTTATGAGTTACGCCATATATGGCAAAAAACAACGTTTGCTGGAATGTTTCACATATTCAAAATGATTCTGTTCTGCCCTGAAACACATTGCACATTTAAGAACTATGAACAGTGAATGTAAATACTGAATACAGTGGCAAATTTGGTGACAATATCTTTATCTGCTTTACTTGTAAACAAACAAACAGCAGTAATAACACTGATATGTGTGTGTGTGTGTGTGTGTGTCAGTAAGCAGCGCATTAATATAACGCGATAATTAAAGGCTCTAATGCTCACTCACATAGGTGTGTGTATTGTAGGAGCTAGACGTTTACAGCCTGGTTCAAAAAAAAGATTTTGGTCTATATAGCTAATTTTGCCCTTGATGACAACTGTGAGGGGGGTGAATTTTTTTTATAACTCATCCGTTTAAATTATATTAAGCCTTAAATTTCTGCATAATTAAGGGCGTAGCCATTTGAGTGACAGGTGGATTGACGTTGCTGTCACCACTGTCGAGCTAGGTGGGCATGGCTTCAGCAACCTGCTCCCGCCTCTTTGCCCATTTTCGATTATCCGGGAGTGACGCGCGGTGACGCGCTGCCAAGATGGCAACGGCCGGCTCCGCCTACTTTAGGCTTCTGCCCAACTTTACAGCAGAAAAAAACGTTTACAGCCTGGTTCAAAAAAAAGATTTTGGTCTATATAGCTAATTTTGCCCTTGATGACAACTGTGAGGGGGGTGAATTTTTTTTATAACTCATCCGTTTAAATTATATTAAGCCTTAAATTTCTGCATAATTAAGGGCGTAGCCATTTGAGTGACAGGTGGATTGACGTTGCTGTCACCACTGTCGAGCTAGGTGGGCATGGCTTCAGCAACCTGCTCCCGCCTCTTTGCCCATTTTCGATTAACCGGGAGTGACGCGCTGCCAAGATGGCGACGGCCGCCTCCGCCCAATTTTGAGCTTCAAAAACGCTCTTCGGAAATCTACGGGTGACGTCACGGACACTACGTCCATGTTTTTATACAGTCTATGGTATTGACGTATGATGACGTGTGACGGCATAGTAGTGGTGTCCCAATTCTTAGGGGAATATTTTCACGGGGAAGGGGAAGGGGTATAAAATAGAATTGGGATTGGGCCTTAGTTTAAATTAAAAACTCCAAGGCTCTTAACCTTGATGACTTAATCCTTGGTCGCCTTCCTCTTTTTCTCTTTTTTGGCCTGGTTGTTTTCAGGGCCCGCACTGGTTTGAGTTCATCAGGCTCATTTTTCTTTAGTGCCGCTGTCAGTTTGGTCTTCGCTGGTTTAGGATTAGGTTCAGACAGCACGGGTCTGGTCTTCGTTGTGGTCTGCATGGGTTTGTTTGGTGTAGGGGCTTTGGTAGTGACGGAGGTCTCGTTGAAGGAATGAGCATTTTCTCCAGAACAGTTCTTAAAGATGGCTGCCTCCATCATGGACTGACCACGCAGCTCAGAGGGGTAACCGCACACAGCCTCAACCCTCAGACTCACATTTTTCAACCATCTGAAAGAAAGAATGTTGAGATGATTGATGGACGGACGGACGGACGGACGGACGGACGGACAGACAGACAGACAGACAGACAGATAGATAGACAGATATATACAGTGGGTACGGAAAGTATTCAGACCCCCTTAAATTTTTCACTCTTTGTTATATTGCAGCCATTTGCTAAAATCATTTAAGTAAGTTTTTTTTCCTCATTAATGTACACACAGCACCCCACCCAGACAGAAAAACACAGAATTGTTGACATCTTTGCAGATTTATTAAAAAAGAAAAACTGAAAAATGCTCAGTATTTAGTAGAAGCACCCTTTTGATCTAATACAGCCATGAGTCTTATTGGGAAAGATGCAACAAGTTTTTCACACATGGATTTGGGGATCCTCTGCCATTCCTCCTTGCAAATCCTCTCCAGTTCTGTCAGGTTGGACGGTAAACGTTGGTGGACAGCCATTTTTAGGTCTCTCCAGAGATGCTCAACTGGGTTTAAGTCAGGGCTCTGGCTGGGCCATTCAAGAACAGTCACAGAGTTGTTGTGAAGCCACTCCTTCGTTATTTTAGCTGTGTGCTTAGGGTCATTGTCTTGTTGGAAGGTAAACCTTAGTTCCAGTCTGAGGTCCTGAGCACTCTGGATAGATAGATAGATAGATAGATAGATAGATAGATAATCTCACTTGTAAAATGGCAGTAATTTGCAGTCACACATTAGCGGATTTTTGTTGAGGGTGAGGTTTTGAAGTCCAGTAAGAGGTGAAAGGTCAGACAACTCCTCTAACTGATTCTCTTCCAGAGACAAAGACAGCAGACCAGGACCAAACCCTGCCAGAGACCTCGCACTCATCTGTGACCACAAATCAAACAAGGAGAGAGAGAATGGACATTTTCTATTTATGAGATTAAGCAAGGATTAACTGCTGTTTCTTTATCATTTTATGGAGCATAAACATATCTTGTGTAGTTTGTCATTTAACCTCTACCTTTTGAAGACCCATTCTATCAATGTGCAGGTGCTTTAGACTTTCAGCCACCACCCGAAATGCTCTTAGCCCAATCCAGCGAATCAGATTTCTTGAGAGGCGGAGCTCAGACAAAAGTGGGGCGTGGCCTAGTGCATCACTCGGCACTTCTGTTAGTGCATTAGCTTCAAGATGAAGGACGTCCAGCTTGGGAGCTGGATCCAGAGCTTTTGGCACTATGTTTGCGATGATGTTATTGTTGAGGTAGAGGCCCGTCAGCTGAGGGACCGGGGAAAGGAGCCCTGAAGGCTCTAGTTTAGCTATAAGGTTTCTCTCCAGATGCAGCTCGAGGAGTTTGGGGTTGTGAGCTAGTGTAGCTGAAGAAGGAAACCGAATGAGTTTATTGCCTTCTAGGTGAAGGTACATGATCTCATGGGCACCCTCAAAGGTTTTTGCGTCCAGGGAGGACAGATGGTTGTCGGACAGGTAGAGGTACATTAGCCCCTTCATGCCCCAGAAAGTGCCACCCTCGATCTCATGGATCTTACAGCTGTGCAGGTGAAGGGACACCACCTTGTTGGAAACTGTTGCTAGGGAGATAATGGAAATGGTTGCCCCGCATGTCAAGCAGAAGAGTGTTGCCAGGGAAACCAGCGGGCACTTTAGTGTGGCCACGGTCCTCACATGTAGCGTGCTGAACTGCAGCCTTGATGGTGAGAGTAAGGAGAACAGAAAATGTGTTGAGATGGAGATACAGTATGTATTAGATTTAAGGTATTGTTCACCCAAAAATTAAAATCTGCTACAGTTTACTCACCCTCGGGCCATCCAAGATGTAGATGAGTTTGTTTCTTCATCGGAACAGATTTTGAGAAATTTAGCATTACATCTCTTGCTCACCAATGGATCCTCTGCAGTGAATGGGTGCCGTCGGCAACAGTTTGAATTTAAAAATGCCTCAATGATGAATTTGTTTCTTACAAACACACAGCTTTTCACTTCATAAGACTTTAACCGTTGTGTGGATTACTTGTGGATTATTTTGATGTTTTTATCAGCTGTTCGGACTCTCATTCTGACGGCACCCATTCACTGCAGAGGATCCATTGATAAGCAAGTGATGTAATGCTACATGCAAATTTTCATGTTTGGATGAACTATTCCTTTAAGTTTATTGTATAACAGACAAGAACAAGGAATCTATTAATTTATTAATAAATAACTAAAATTCCCTCCACCCTTTTCCAACCCTTTCTCACCTCACAATGACAATTTTTTGGGCATTTGATCTTTTTCTTTGGCTTGGCAATTGGCACGGCCTTTTCTTTCACTCCATCTTCTTTTTTACCTTCCTTTTCTATCACATCCGGCATCAGCTCATCATGTGGTCTGCAGCGGAGGTCCTGTTCTTGAACATTTTGTAGAGGTTCATCTGAGAGGTGTAGCGGCCAAGCACAGGCCCCATAGAGCTTGATTCCTGAGCTCAGCGCCCATCTCTTCAGCCCTTGCAGTAAACATGTACATCTGATGGGGTTCCCTGAAGGAAGTGAATGAGAGCTATCACTCCGCAGTTTGATTTTGAGATATTTTAAATGAATAAATCATATAATCTCCAGAATTACAGCCATGTGAATAAAAGACAATAATAATAATACTACATGCAAGACAATTTTAGAATAAAAATAATACTCTAAATTCAATTTAAATAACTTTAATTAAGATTAAGTCATTTTAATAATTTTCATGATTAATCATTAATCCTTACTTTATCTTTACTCAAATAAAAAAAAGATTTTTAAAAAGTTCCAAAGTTTTCCTAAAGTTTCAGTAGGGAATGAATGAAAAGTGGTTCATTAGAAATGCCACTGAAAGAAAGAACGAAAGAAAGAAAGAAAAAGATTGTTGTTGTTGCTGTTATTATTATTATTATTACATTTTATTGGCTTAAGTAGCATTTCTAATGGACCACTGCTCAACTGTCCAACTGAAACGTAAGGAAATAATTATAATTATGGTTCATATTAACAATAATTGTTATTATTACTATTATTGTTGTTGTTGTTACTTCCATTATATTATTATTTCTATATAATTCAATTATATACTGATATTATTATTAGTTACAAATATAATGTAATATTAAATAATAATAAAAAAAATAGTTGTTGTT